GAGGTTGGAGGTTGTGAGGAGGTTCTTGGAAACAAAGAAGCCACCAGACAAGTTGGGAGAAAAGGAGCTGGAGAGTCTTGTGCAGCTAGCAACCCTGTACTTTGTAAAGGGTGGGGAGCTTTGGAGGAAAGAGCCCCAAGGTTGCCACCAACTTGTGGTTTGCCACCACAAGCAGCTTGAAATTATTTGTCAGGCCCACGATGAGTTAGGCCACAAGGGTATCTTCTCCACCCATATGTGCTTGCTGACATGGTTTTGGTGGCCCATGCTTGAGCAGGATGTTTGCTGGTACATCAAGACATGTCATGAATGCCAGATTTGCCACCTTGATCGAATTCACATTCCCCCTGTCATGGCAATACCTGAGCCCCTGTTCTACAAAGCCTATGTCGACACTTTTGTAATGCCAAAGTCCAACAGGTACCACTATGTTACTCAAGCCCAATGCTCCCTCACCAGCTACCCGGAGTGGGCCATGCTTTGATCTGAAACTGGAAAGTCGATCGGCAAATTCTTATTTGAGCAGATATTGTGCAGATGGGGAGCTGTGGCAGAAGTTGTCACTGACAATGGTGGTCCTTATGTTCTAGCACTTGACTGGCTATCGAAGACATATGGTATTCAGCATATCCATATCTCACCTTATAACTTGCAGGCAAATGGTATTGTGGAGCAGCAGCATTTCGATGTCAGAGAAGCGATGGTTAAGAGTTGTGAGGGCAAAGCCTCAAGATGGTCAGAAGTGGCCCCATCTGTATTTTTGGCAGAGAGGGTTATGGTTCACAAAGCTACGGGATTTTCCCCTTACTATATGGCTCACAGTGTCCATCCCAGACTCCCTTTTGACCTCGCCGAAGCAACCTTTCTCGCCCCTTTCAAAGCACAGTCATACTCTACTACCACTCTCATTGCCAATCATGCTTGGCAATTGCAGAAGTGCCCAGAAGACCTAGTGCTAATACACGATTGAGTCCTCAATTCCCACTTCACTTTGGCAAAGGACTTTATGGCTTGATTCGAGAGGACTATCCACGACTTTGACTTCGAACCAGGTACCCTAGTCCTTGTCAGAAATTCCTGCATCGAGAAAGAGCTGGACTGAAAGACCAAACCTCATTACCTAGGTCCTATGGTAGTCATACGCCACACCAAAGGTGGCTCTTATCTCCTCACAGAGCTCAATGGCGCTGTTTCGAGGTTTTGCTTTGCCACCTTTCACTTATACCCCTATTTCCCAAGAAACAGGTCCCATATCAAGGTCACCCATCTGGTTGGCCTCAACAGGTCTGCTATAGATCAGCTTGAAGATGACTCCCTTCCTGGCCCAGAACTGGCTGGTGTCCTTGGGGACAAGTTAGATGAGTAACCTACATCCTATGTTCTTTTTTTCTTTTCTTTTCTTTTTTTTGTCCATTGTCTATCTTTTACAGACGCTTTACCTATACAAATTACTGACACAAAAAGCCAAACACAAAACCATAAAATGATATAAAAACCCAAAAGCCAAATTTCTTTGCCTCCCCTTTTCCTTGACCCGTAGTTTTACTCACTGTTTACCATCTATAGAGTTCAGCCCAAAGCTAAAACAACAATTGCTGCTACCTACTCAGTCAGGATGACAGTACTATACCACTTGTTCTTCCTTCTTTCACTTATGTCTCTTATGTTATTCTGACCTTCCAGTCTTACCACCGAGGTGTGTTCTGAGGCAGCACACACACAGATGAAATTACCACCAATCTACAGTACAACAGCAGACACAAAGTAAAAAGGGAGCTGTGAAACTACCATTTCTACACTAAGACAAGTCAGAGGGACCAGGGATGAAGTGCTCCTCCTGCCAGGCCTTCAGGGAACATAGTTGGTGCCAAGACTGACAAAGAGCCTCACAAACTTGGGTCGCTGTCATACTAACCTGTGCCATCTGTGAGAACAAGTCCATCAAGGCATCCTTGCCCCATTCAATCAACAGCTCCACATTGGCAATTCACTTGTCCAGCTCTTCAATGGGGTGTATACAACCACTTTGTGTATGGTGCTTACCCTTTACAGACAAATGGGTTGGCCCTGTAGGCATGGGGACTTCCTTGGACTCAGTCAGGTCGATCTCGACCTTCTCAGGAGCCAAGCCTTTGCTGCCTGCGACCTTGGAGGCCTCTTTGCCCTGGCCTGTCCTGACTTGTGCACTCAGAAACTCACTTGAGCCTCTTGAGGACTCGGCAGGTTTGTCAACAGGTTTGTTAGCAGGGCGGGGAGTGAGGAGAGCCAGGAACCCAGGAGTGGGAGTGGGAGTGGACAGGCCACTGGGGAGGAAGAGAGGGAGAGGTTGTTGCAGCAGAGGGACCTGGGATGGTTTGGGTATGTCTGCAACAGACATGGAGGCAGCAGGCTGGGAAGCTGCTGAGCGACTGACCAGACGAGGTCGCAGCTGTCCTGTTGTAGGAGTCAGTGCTGATGAAGGAGGGGGAGCAGGGTGTGGCTTGGCCTTCTTGCTTGTAGATGCTGACTTGGGCACCAGACCCTCTGGGATCTTGCACTACGTCTCATGGTCACCAGCTGAATGCACCAGTCAGGGATTTCTACTCACCTTCCTACCCAGTTTCCCAGCCTTGTCGCATTTCTTTTTGCCATCGTGGCAGGCCTTGCATGTGGTCCATTCCTTCCACACACAGATTATTCCTCGCTTGACACACCACTCGCAAGGTCTGTTACTCCCTGGTGTGGGGTTGACCTCCACCACATCTTCATCTGCCATAGGGCCACCCAGGCCAGTCGACATCATGCCTTCAGCAACCCTTGCTGATGACCCACCTTCCATAGTCTGACCAACTCCAGGCATTAGCATACTACTAGTCGGCCAGAGGTCATGTACATACTGTTGCTCCCTCCTTCCCTTTGTCGGCAGATTTCTCTAACTGCTGTTGCAACTGACGGACTACCTCACTCCCTGGTTGAGGAGCACTGGGGCTGGGGGCAGTTGGCTTCATCTTGGGTTTTGCTGTGCATGGCAGGAATCGAGTTTGCAGTGCCATTAATGCCATGAAGGCATTGCTTATGGCAATCTTGGTTTCGTTGGGGTAGTTGGGGACCTCCAAGCTCACATCTGAGGCAAACTTGTGAAGTTGTTTGATACACCCCTGCACTCGAGACTCAGAAGGACAGTGGCACCAGTACCACATGGGCAACTCACTGATAGTTCCTCATACTGACCCAACCATGCTCATGCTGTCTCCTCATCTGCAGACTCACCCAGAATCTCCTTCATCAACGATTCCAGTTTCTTCATATGTGATGCCCACATTCCTGGGATGAGATCTTGCATGGTGCTAGGCATAATGAAGGGAGGTGCAGTCATGGAGGTGCTCTGGGAGGATGACATTGTGTTGGGAGGGGAGGGACTTGGTAATGATGAGTGGACAGGAGTGAGGTTGACAGACTTAGCAGAAAAGGAACGAACATGGCGATTACACTTGGTGCATTAAGCGAACTTTACACCATGGAAGCATTTTCCCACAGCATGTGTTCAAGAACCCCATCGCTTGTGCTTTGATCTGTGCACAGCCACTTTCGTTACAAAGGCATTCCATCTCTGTCCTGTACCTAATCATGTGCACTTGACTGAGGATGGTCAAAGTCTAAAGACCCTGGGAGGTGTAGGGAGCCTAGGCTCCCTGGGACTGTGAGGCGCCCTTGGCAGCAATCCCAACTCTCCCAACCTGCCAGATCACATGCCCCCAGATCACATGCCCATCATGGTCATGGGATTGTGTCACCACCTACACTACACTTCCTCTCAGTCACATGCCTATTACTGCCAGCAACATCATCACCTGTCATGTGTCACTGTGCCTCCCTGCAGACCTCCCTTTAGCTATACCACTCCCTTCACCCCCTGTCAGCTTCCAGGGTGTGATCCCATTGCTCAGACATGTAGTTATGCCGCCTTGTCTTGGTTCATGTTTATCTTCTCCACTTTTGTTTGTTTTCCTTTTGCCACTGTCACTGCCGCACACATGTCTGTACCAGCATTGGACTTTGCTTTGTCTGTTATTACTTTTGACATATGACAGATCCAAAATATGCTGAATCTTACCTTAGATACCACTGTCCCTATGATACAAAAGCCTGGTCTACTTAGAAAAATATACCACCCACCTTTTGGCATCACAGAGCAAGAATCTAAGAGTCCCCTTCAAGTCTAGAGAGCCTTCCTGAGCCATCTCTGAGTTTACAAGAGTACCCCAAGTCCCAGAATTCCCTTTGCTGCCATTTCGCTGCCATCAAGTCCCTAACATCCCAAAAACTGTCCTCCAAGCCTACTATTGCTGCCTACCAAGTTCCAACAAGCTCTCAAGTCCCCCTTTCATATAATTCCTGCTTTACTGCCTAAAGTCCCCCTCTTCTGTCTCCTTCCAACTCAAGACCCATTGGGACAAGCCTAGGTCTTACCTACAGCTTTCCCCTCTTATTTCCCTTAGCACTCTTGCAAGAAGAGTTGCCCACAGTGGGAGCATGCAGGAGCAAAGCAGATAAGCAATTCTATTCTTGGAGGATTCTCGGAATTTACCAGTGTGGATGGTGGGTCTGTTTGACTGGTTCTTTGTGCCAAAACAACCATATCTAGAAGAGTACTATTGCCACCGAGAAGTGGTACCTGAGGTGGCATAACCTGATTGCCCTTTCCCCTGGCAATCTCTATATTCTTCTGCATGAGAAATATGTGTGACAGCTTCATATTGATCATGCAGCAAGAGCTGCTGAGCGCTTGGACACAGGCTGGGAAGTGATGTGATATGTATGACTGTTCTGCCTGGGAGTCTCTTATTATATGGGGAGGAGGGCAATAATCATGGGATCTGGGGAAATGTTGAACTGCTCTACATGTTATATGGCTCTCTCATAGCCTCTCAGTGAACCTTAAGAGAAACACCAGAGGAATACCACTGTCCACCTACCCCCAATGGAGGACTTGATTCTGTCTCTTACCACTAAGAATCTGTGGTGAGATGGCTGAGTGGTAAGGCACCACTGGCATTTCAAGGCTGCTTACTGCAGAATGAGAGGAAATGAAGATAAAAAAAATTACAAAAAACTAGCCTTGTCATGTGGTCCGGAAGGGCATGGGTTCGAATCCCACTCTCATCACACCTTTCATCATTTTGGAGTGGATGGCAGATGATTAGATACATATGCCCATGCAATCAGTATTGTCTTGCTTGCAAGGTTTCTGTCCGAGTACAACCACGTGGAAACCGCCCCCCATCTGAAAGACCTTCCTTTTTCAGCACGACGTGGCACTTGGCGACCTCAACGTGCGTCTGCCTTTGTATGCTCCTGTGTGCACCGAACATGCAAAATAGTGGCAGCAGACTGATGACAAAGTGAAAACAAGTGGGCGGTGGTTAGTTATCTGTCGTCACCTATACCCACCACTTCCAGGTGCCCTTGTCCAACAAATGCAGGCGACCGTCCTCGGCGAGCAAGTCCGGGGAGTGAGCACTCAGAAACAATCTCTCACCAAAGTCTCTTGAAAGGGCGAATAGTATCGCACCCTGAGCTTCTTGGCAAGGTGACATAAAGGTTGAAAAGATTGAGGGTTCCAGATGGCGGTCGTGCATTGCCAGTTCAGCATGACGAACGACTCAGACAGGGGTTCCACGATGTACTCTCGAAGTTCCTAGAGTTACTGATGACTATGGTGCCTAGACACTTCCCTTGCATATTTATTTGGCCTGGACCTTAATACTACACTTGAAAGATGCTCGTTCTCTTGTCGCTTCCCCTGAGCAGCACGTAGATGTGGGCTATTCTACTCACACACACATTCAATCTGTGTAAGGACCATGCAATGTATGAACTTCTTCATCTATGTCATCCGGGTCAATGCTGATGTCCTGCACTGAACAATCTGTCTGTACGCTGCGTGTTCCCGAATCAGGCAAGCAAGGTTGTCGCCGCTGATGGCAGCACTTCCGAGTACAAGCGTGTCATTTGGAAATACTAGCTGATGCTCAGTTTCCCAGCCACTCTGCCAAGCATTGACTTGTCTCTCAAGATCAGCCCACTCTTCTTCGCTCTCGATTCTTGACCCCTTCTGGTCACTCTGCGCTTGTCCAAGTGCCTCCAGCGGCGTCGCTGTCGTGCGCGCACCCCATGACAACGATAGACTACTCAGATTCGGATTTGCCATACAGCGACAGTCTAGTTACTATGGGTGTCAGTGGGACACCTACAAAGTGAACCGAGATGAGCTTGCTACGTGGGGTTGGACCGCTGCTCTTCTTGCCGCACAACTGTACACTGTCAACCGGAGGGTCGGGTCTTCGCCCAGTACCACATGATGGCAAGCGTGTGTGCCAATATTCTATATGACACGTGGTTCACTACAGAGATGATGAAAATAGACTTTCTTACGCCAACAACGATGTCTGCGTAGTTTCGTCCTTACTGGCGCATGGTTAGGTCCATGGAAAGGCCAGTATAGTTGTGACTGCGGAGCGAACGCGTGAAGCAGAGATCCCAGAACGTTTTGTTGCCTTATCAATATGATGCGTACACGTGCCATCTCAGTTATCGCGCGTTTGCTTGCCTTAAAATGTCTGCAGCTTCGCATAACCTCGCATTGCGGTGGCACTCACGTTCAACAACCATCTCCCTCTCTTAGGGTAGGCCCTTGACGAGCAACGAACATCAGTCTTCCGCCTTTTCTTCGTCCAACACTCGAACCTCACCACGGGAAAGGATATCCTGTAGGCTAGGACACCCAGAGTATGTGTGATAACACGCTGACGAGCTGAATGCGGCATTGACTTGTTGCGAAGATGAAGTTACTCGACATCGAAGCTGTGCTCAACAGAGACAAAGGCATCCAACAAGCCAGACACAAATCTCAAGTCATGAAAGAACTTGATGACATCACCACGAGTTACGCCATACTGTCACATCGTTGGGGAGCAGAGGTCAGTTACGAAGAGATGATTGGGGTCATGAAGATGGAGGAAGAAGAGCGAGAAGAGGTCAGGCAGCGTCACGGCTATCAAAAGATCATCAAGAGCTGCGAGCAAGCCAAGAAGGATGGCTACAAGTGGTTGTGGATTGATACCTGTTGCATCGACAAGCGGAACAGTTCGGAACTCTCGGAAGCCATTAACTCGATGTACCGGTGGTACCAAAATGCACAGGTGTGCTATGCGTACTTCAATGACGTCGGCGAGTCGACCTTCCCTACTAAACGAGATAACAGCAAGTTTGACAAGTCCAACGGTTGGCCGGAGTGGTTTGTGCGAGGCTGGACACTGCAAGAACTCATTGCGCCGAAGCAAGTCGAATTTTTCAGCAAGAACTGGGTGCGTATTGGCGACAAGCAGAGCTCTGCATGGGAGTTGGAGGAAATTACGGGAATTCCGTGCGATGTTTTGACGAATGGCCTGGCTGCGCAGCGTCTCAGTGTCGCACAAATCATGTCGTGGGCCGCCAACCGGAAGACTACACGTGTAGAAGATCGGGCGTACTCGTTGATGGGCTTGTTGGGAGTGAACATGCCGATGTTGTATGGCGAGGGCAAAAAAGCGTTTCAGAGGTTACAACTGGAAATCATCCGCGTATCCAGCGATCACAGTATATTCGCATGGGGGCCATGGATGTGGCAGACGGACAGTGTCCTGGCAAAGGATCCAAGCGACTTTCGGGGTTGTGGCACTATCAGGAGGCTGGAACCTGTCGAATTTGTCGACATTCTGAGAAGGAAGTACATCGAAGGGGAGGGCCTCGATGACATCGACAGTCGGGCACGACGTCAGCACAAACTCGCGGCATTGCGTGGTGCATTGGACTCGCATCAATTTCACACGTTGACCGTCAGCAATGCGGGTATCCAAGTGTTCCTGCCCATCGTCTCCTCTCATGACTCCCCGTTTCACTTGAGGGCCATATTGGCATGTACTCGTAATGGGGATCTGGTCACGATTGCTTTGGTATCCTCACGGGGCAGCTTTGCCAGGATTTCAATGATCGACTCTCCGTTACCTGCAACGTATCCAGATTTCAAGACGCTCCGCCTCATTCATCATCGGGACTCCAACGAAACGCGCCACGAGATTGTACTCGAGGACGAGTTGGTCTCATGCCATGGGTTCACCCGCTGTCACACCTACCCGGGCGAATTCACCGGCAATACCGTCACACCCTTATCTCTTGTCGTCGCCGATGATCTCATTGTGATAGTCTACGCCAATCACAATGCCAGACGTCGCTTCGCAATTGGCCTCGGATATTCCCTTGGCCGAGAGTGGGTGCACGTTGTCGATGACGGAGATTTCCTCATCCGAAAGGAAGAAGACTACTGGAAATTTGGCCGGAGAGTATACAATACAATATCGAAGGCACGTGTCAAACATGCTCAGATAATGCCCAAACATGATGCATGCCGCAACGAACTCTTCATTAAGCGTGCCCACCTTCCTCGATCAGCCTGGGTTGCAAGGGTAGTCTGGGGTAGGCAGCTAGCTGGCAACTTCAAGGTTATAGTCGATGTCAGGCAATGTCCTGGTTGCTGTAATGAGTCACACGGGTGGGCGGCTGCATCTGTTAGTACTATTTCTCCCGTGTGTATGCAGAGCTAACTGTTTCCGTTACCTCAAAATGATCAGACTGTCCTCGCCATGCCGAAGCTTATGGCCACGGCTTCTGGTTCATACTTGCTGAAGCTGGACGGGCGGCCGACCAAACTTAGCAAGTGTATTGGTCAACGGTTTGCGGTGAGCCACGCATCATATCTTTACATCTATCTTGCATCTCACATAGACAGTTGGGTGATTATGGTGATTACTCCCGTGGCAAGCTTGTACGCACTGGAAATATATTTGAGGATATGCCGGCCACTGGCATTGATTTCGATGACTCCTATCGCTCCGCGATCTACAGCGTATCCGGTTCAGAACTCGGAAGGCGATTGGATTGGGTAAAAAGTCAGGATGTTCTCGCTGTGGAACAGAAACCTAAAAGAACAGAATACTTGGCACTGCATCATCCAATGGCCATCTCGCTTCCTGTCAATGAACACGTTTCACTGCTACTAAGAGCCTTGTCTACCCGTCTTGCAGGAAAATACCTGGTGACGACCGTCATACAATGCTTGGATTTCTATACGGTTGATAAGGATGGTAAACAATGGAACTCGGACGATTGTGAGTTGTCTACAAATGATCGTACACTGTTCACCTTCGGACTTTATTAGACTGGGCATTAAACGATGGCGATTACTCCATAGGAACAGGGATTTTGACTCCACTTTGCGCCATCTCATACCCGCACGTTTGGAGTATAGATCCGCTTTGTAAACAAAGACAGAAGCGATTCAAAAGCATTCGGTAAGCCCATGGGGTCGCTCCGTGTGGTATTGCTTTACTGATGCTTTGTTTTGGGACCTAGGAGGAACTTTTACATGCTCATGGATATGGTACGTCGCTTTACCACCCTCGGGGTTCATCTACACTACTGGTCCCACTGTCTGCACCATCAACCCGCGGGAACTCAGCCATCTCACAATTCTGACGTGCGTCAAACAACTATGTCACGAACGTGATCATCCCCTTATAATGGTGTCAGATGAGACAGAAGAGAAATAGAGCGATCGAATTTTTCTCAGACTTGTTCGGCCTCAAGCACCTGAAGAATTATGTGAGTAGTCCCCTTCTCAATACCTCGTCTTACTCACTTGTTTTTATTGAATATAGATTGGCGACATAGCATTCTTCAAGAGGCTCCCCCCGATGATGGAAACCAGTTCAGTCAGTGATCTACCATCTGTAGGCGCTACGGAAGGTTTGGTCTGTCATGCTATGTTCTTCCGCAAATTGATATTGCAACTCTAGAGAATGGTTTACGAGTACGCTTACTTACGGTATCGCGCTTCAATTCAGTGATGAGATACTAACCTATTTAACGGCGGCCAGCAACTTCTTCCCGCAGAGTCGGACCCACGCCTTGAATCTGTGTTACCTCTGTTGCGCAGACGGTCCCAAACCCTTTATTCAAGCCTTCTTACTCTGGACCGGCCTGCTAATGAAAGACAAATAGTGAAGGGCGAGATCAAGTTTATATTGAAGACTCTGGGCAGGGATGTAAGCGTTGCTATCAGCAAAGAT